ATCCTCCCTTATCTGACTGCTTTTGTAGAGACCAAGGAGCCAAGCGGCGACGAAGGTGCCGAAAATGAACTCGATTTCCAGTTTTGATTAAGGTTGTGGTATTCTTGTGCTCCTCTGCTCAGACGTTTTGCCACTACCCTGCATCTTTTGTGCTACGTTATCTTTCTCCACTCAACTAAATAAAGTGCCTGCTTCCCACAAGGACTGCTCGATGAGATTGTGCGCTTGACCGCTTGCGTTTTACAACATCATGACAGATTCAAATACTTTGGATTTACTGTAGTGTAGAGTACCCTGACCGGCTAAGAAAATGGATTTGCCAGGATTGTCACACACTTCGGCAAGAAGAATTTTGCCACTGGGCGGCCCTACGATTTATTTTTGTTCCGGTCTCAGTTCCAATCTTCAGCGTTTCATTCTGTGTCGGTGTGTAGTCCGATTGATAAACACGCCGCAACAGGTATCTTTATTGCTAAAAATATCGTGAAAGAATAAATCTACCTAGTCCTTGATAACTTAACACTAACTTACGTGGTCGACGACGTGGATGTTCCGATATCCCAATTCAGCTCTTTCCAGCGAAAAGGCCTTGAATATCGAAAATTTCTCGCTCGGCCACAGCGGATCGTTAAGGAAACCTCGGAATAGCTGCAGGCATGTAAACACTCGCTCTTTGGAAGCAGTAGCTGCGGATTCGGCAAGTCCATGAATTAACAGGCAATGTCCCATGTCTGGCGAGTCTTTCGATATCGCGAGAATCGTTTACCCCGAGGAACGTAACGTGCGGTTGTCATGGTCTTATGATGATATAGACTGTGTTCCATTACAATATTCTTTCATCCTCCTTTCGTTTGTTTTATACCTGTCCTTTGGTACAGCAGAAACTGGTTCGATCTCAAAGAAGTCGGCTTCATCTGAGAAAAAACTGCTTGAGTTAGCTCCATTGTTCAGATCTCTGTCGTTTTCGGTTGCAAGGAAAACTTGACATCATAAACCGTTAGCAGTCACAAAACCAACATCAATTATCTCTCCTAGTCTTGGCCGGCACTTTGCTTCTGTCTATTATAATACACACTGTGCGGCTGCTGACGGACCCCAAGAGTAGGTCCCAAGGCAGAACCGGGCTAGTGTGTCCCATAACCCATCGATGGGCTTTCATCCACCGATGACAGTATTGTTTGTGGAAAATGTAACATTTGTGCCTCAGGATTGCAATAAAGTCCAGTGGATCAAAATGGAAGTCAAACATTCGAAAGCAAAGGCGAAGGTTACGCCGTCTTCGTAGCCCTCGAGTGCATTCCTTCCGGAAGTTTACAATAATCCTTGAAACCCCGATGTCAGGTGGGTACGGCATAATCCAAGAGAGATTGAATGAATGGATCATAAGTTTCATAGCCCCTTATTCATTTGTGCAGACAGGTGTTTCAGCAAGATTAGCAGCCATGCCGCCGGTTTTGCCGCCTCGTAAGACCGTGACGATGTTTGGAGCATTTCTCCTCGGTAAAAATTTAAAGCTTGGATAAAAAAATTGCGCCACTGTTCATCAACTGCAACCCATCGCTGCCTAACATCAATAAAGAATGAGAGAACATAACAAGTTGAATTCGTACAGAAAATTCACTGCAGAGCAGTGAGCTCATGGTATAGCGGCCAATGACATTGGTTTTGGCAGAGACACGAAGGAGCAGTTCATCTGTATAGTTCTCCAGTTATGTAACACCGGACGGAGTTGTTAATTATCACAGACACACGTATAGGGATGAAGAAGAATAGCAAGTTACTAACAAATAAGATCAGTTACCGTAAAACAATGAGTAAATAGTAAGAGCGGAAAGGTACCGATACATGATAATGTCAAAGTTTTGTACAGTCAATCCATCTGGAATGAGGAGTGGTCACAAAATACCAGTTAGATACCGGTCAGGAGTGCAGCGCTGTAGGCAACTGCGGGCGTGGACCCTAGCTGTGATGACGAAATGGGACATGTAAACTATACGGTGACGTTAATGGGGGAGCGAAGTCAGCGGTAGGGAGACAAAGCACATTAACCGTTTTTACTGACAAACGATCAAATCATCCTCGTCCATGGTTCGCACGAGACGTGACCTTGGCACATTAAACTGACCCTGTCAGATCTACGGTTTCTAAAAATAGTATATT